CCCCCCCCCCCCCGCATGGCCTGAAAGGAACAGTGAGGCTCCTCCAGTGGACCATGCCTTGGCACTTGCCCCGGTCCCACCCCCTTCTGACAGAGACTCTCAGATCGGTCTAACTCCTGCCAGGCCCCCACAGGCACCCTTGACGCAAACGATGTAGAGCTGGCCACACCCACCCAGTAGGCCACACCCATTCCATCCACACCCACCCAGTAGGCCGCACCCACCCTGCCCACACCCACCCGGCCCCCTGAGGGCAACCGCAATGCTGATGCGACCCTCAATAAAATTGAGTTTGACACCCCTGAGCTAGACGGTAACAATGTGGACCAGTAAAGGAGAATATTTAGCTCAGGGTTGAAATGAAGGGTCCTGTATTATGGATGTTCTTGATTGTTACCTGCCAAGAGTTCATTGAAAGTAGAAGGCTCAAATCAAATAAATAAAACCCGGAGGAAAAGTAATATTTAGAAGAAGAAAAGCTGTTTTAAAAAGCTTTAAAAAATTAATAGCTCACTAGAGAATTTATATGCAACATATTGTCACATGTACTGCATAGCTACAAGCTTGGAGAATCCATAAATTAACTTTGGATCAATGTAGACTTCTTACTGACAGGATCTGTGAGAAAGCAATGGATGGAGGGGAAGATGGCTGTGCTTGGTTGCTTTTGAGCAGCACATGTTGTGCAATATACCTTTAGGTCCTCCTTGCCAAATTCCTGGATGGGTTTCTATTTGATACAAACCTGTATATACTAGAACTAGAACCTTTACTTGAAGAAGACAAGGTAGGTTCACAAGACCAATCTTCAAACACGTTTTGTCCTTTCTTTTCGTATTTTCCTCTTGTTTTCCTAGCAAGAATCTTGCATTACAAAGTAATTCTCTGCTAAACAAGTCCATTGAAAGTTCAAGTAGACAGACAAACCTGCATGGAAATATCGCTGACCTCACACGGGTCTGCCATCTAAGCATACATTGCTACAAATTCAACTAAAAATCTTAACTCCTGGGGACCCTTTCTTTCAGGCTAAAGCTCAAAGGCACAACCATGAAAGATCCAAGTCGTAGGAGTACTAGTCCAAGCATTATCAGTGAAGACATGATCATGAATGGTCACTCTCATGAAGATGATAATCCGTTTGCAGAATATATGTGGATGGAAAATGAAGAGGAATTCAACAGGCAGGTAAGTGAGAGGATACGTTGCTTCCTTTGTTTTGTTTTTTCTTCTGCATTATTGGAAAGATCCCACTTTTTCCATTAGTCTAGTTTTCTTCCAATGTTTTCTGTGAATCTCTAAACCAGGGGTTGGCAACCTTGGCTCTTTTAGGGGCTGCCACAAAGAAGAGGGAGTCAGGCTATTCTCCAAAGCGCCCGAAGGCAGGACAAGAAGCAACGGGTGGAAACTAACCAAAGAGAGAAGCAACCTAGAACTAAGGAGAAACTTCCTGACAGAACAATTAACCAGTGGAACAACCTGCCTCCAGAAGCGGTGAATGCTCCAACACTGGAGGTTTTTAAGAAGAGACTGGACAGCCATTTGTCTGAAATGGTATAGGATTTCCTGCCTGAGCAGGAGGTTGGACTAGATGACCTCCGAGGTCCCTTCCAACTTTATCATTATTATTATTATTATTATTATTATTATTATTATTATTATTATTATTATTATTATTATTATTATTATTATTATTATTATTAACTCCCAGAATTCCTGAGCCAGCCATGCTACCTCAGGAATTCTGGGAGTTGAAGTCCATGGGTCATAAAAGAGCCAAGGTTGCCTACCCTTGCACTAAACGAAAAAGATCTTGCATCCTTGTTTGGTTTGAAGAAGAGTTGATTTTTGATGGTAGGTCTATTCCCAGTTTGCATTTGCTGTTTAACTACCATTTAGTATGCAACACTATATATTGGGCTCTTGGTGCTGTTTCCTTGCATTTCACTATCAAGCTAGGTAACATCATTAGTTAATTAGAGAGTGGAGGTAGTTGTAGTTGTTTTTATATATAGTCTGCCAAACTTGGTTGGAGTGTAGTTTCTCCCCAGTTGTTTATCTGGTGCTGTTTCCTAGTTTCCTAAATGTTGGCTTTGTTATCTGTTTCCTTTGTTAACTTTTGGTTGCTTTTTTTTAACAGTTGCATAGATAAGGTTTATCTCTATATTTTAATAACTGAGATGTCTGCAGAAAAAGAAGCTCAGAGAACAGCAATAACCCACCAGTTGGGTGGGGGAGAGGGGGAAGGGTTACTTCAGGTGACTGAGAAAATAAAGGAAGAGCCTTGCAGGGCTCAGACCCAATGTTGTGGCACTGTGGAAGAAGCAGCTATTTAAACTTCCTTTTCCACATTTGCCCTCAGTTGCTGCAGCTTGTGGGAACTTAACACTTGAGTTCTCCTAACATTGGGGAGGATCCATTTGAGAGGTTTTTGCCATAGCGCTCAGACAGTTCCACTCAGGTCCCTTGATAGTAGATTTCCTTCTGTTGTTCCAATTATAGATTGAAGAGGAATTGTGGGAAGAAGAATTTATAGAACGTTGCTTCCAAGAAATGCTGGAAGAAGAGGAAGAGCACGAATGGTTTATTCCAGCGAGAGATCTTCCGCAAACGATGGATCAAATTCAAGACCAGTTTAACGATCTTGTTATCGGTGACAGTTCGTCACTGGAAGATCTGGTGGTAAGCATCTGATTTTAAAATTGGAATTATTTTAATCAAGCCCCTTTCTTCAAATATTAGCAGTATACTTTGTCAGCTGTCTCACTCAGAAGCTAGCTGAGATGTGGCCTTCTGACAACAATCAAAACCTTGTGTGCGCAGAACAACTGTACCATCTTCTCCTCCTCCTTCTAATCTTTTCATAATAGTCCGCCTGCAAGTATTTGTTTTTGTCGAGTGCACAGGTGTGCATTGGGAGAGAAGAATACATGGAACCATTTGGGAGGGTAAAGACTGGATGTGTAGGCTAAGTGATTAGGAAAGTGATTTAGTTCTTGTAGGGTTCAGAGGTCTCCCTAATTTTAACTTTTCACTCTGCAGAGATACCATTTGAAGGTCTGGTAGATGAGAGAGACCTGAAGCATTGTATTGCTGACATTTGTTGTACAATTAAGTCTACTGGCCATGGTGCATAGGACTATTTTTTAATAGTGTAGGCCAGGGGTCTTCAAACTTGGCCCTTTTATGACTTGTGGACTTCAACTCCCAGAATTCCTCAGCCAGGCACGCTGGCTGAGGAATTCTGGGAGTTGAAGTCCACAAGTCATAAAAGGGCCAAGTTTGAA